CAAACTGGGTTCAATGGCCTAACCCAAGGAAGAAGAGGAAGAAAAAGAGAAAGGAAGAAGACGGAATTTTTTTATTTTTTATTTTTAAATATAAATAGTAATCATGAGTTGGCATAAAAAAAAATCCACATCATGAAAAAAAAAGTTCACATCAACACGTTTTCAATTTATTTTTGCCATGTTATAAAAAAAAATAAAAAATGCCACATGAGCGAGTTAACGATCGAAATTAACAGAATGATTAATGGAGTGCATTTCTTAAAATTTAAGGATTAAAAAAGTACAAAAAATTATTAAGGGACCAAAAATGTGCAACTCACTAAAATTGAGGGACCAAATTTAACATTTAACCTTGTTTTTATTTGATATTATAATAACCACTCCTGACAAATCTTGCACGTAACACTTGAAATTTTTAACTCTAACTACCGGGCAAACATATTAATTAATTATTTAAGTTTTCTATTTTGGGTTTGAGAAGAAAACTGAAAATAGAATTTTATACAGGCCAATATTATGACTAGAGCTAGAATTTCCTTATGACGACTTGGAGGACAGTGTTACAAAGTCTCTTCTTTTGTTTGAGTTGCAAGAAAAAGAATCGACCAATCATCAATGCTTTTGTTAATTAATTTTAATAAAGCTGTGATTAATTCAAATATGTGAGAATCAAATTAACATGCATATAAAAATATATCTAATATATTAATTAAGTTTCTTTTAAGTTGGTCAATAACTTATATAATTTAATTGTAATTTTTTTTAGATAAAAATAAAATATTTTGAATTTCAATCACATAGTATATATCAGTACAAAATCGTTATATTATATATGAAAATAAAACTAGATAGATGCATGCACCAGTTACATATGTTTGGTATGTGAACCTTTAATTGCATTTTTATACCAGCATGACCAGTTCTTATATCCTTCATCATGACATGTTGGTAATTAATTAGTTGACAAATGTCCTATAGAAATATCTTCACTCTTGAATCAAAATATCGCCAAAAGATGGTTGAGGAAAAGAGTGTATCTCTTGTTCATTTTTGTGTAGGTAGGGCGCACACTTTGTCATAATTAAAAGAAGTTCAAGAGGGTCCATCAGTACGTTATCGTTCTGCATGCATCAGTCTGGGGATCATAAGAAAAAGCTGATAAACTTTTTAATATATGGTTCTACACACCGCACAGTGTGCAGAAGGGCACAAATACAATCTGGAAATGACAGCCAGTTCCTAGCTAGCTGGCTGCCAAGCTTGCAACAGACAAATTCATGCCAATTATTAATATAGAATATCATATTCTTGTCAGGCAAAGCTACAGTTAATTAATTATTAGTTTGTCCAAAATACACATGTGCGGCAAATTTGATAATCATCCAATATTGATTTGAATCATCAGCTAAATTTAATCTCTCAATCGATCCAGCTTTCTTGATTAATTGGAGATCAAAGTTTTCTTAATACAAACGGCTTTATGAATACCACCATTGAACATGTTTTTGTGATGCTTATATACATGCATGTGTACGTATGAGAGTGTCGAGACAAGAGGTACCAATAATGACACATGAAGATTGGTCAATTTGGTTCGAAAGGATAGCATTAAAGAAATTGAAAACACAGTTTCTGCACTTCCACAGTTTTAATTGTCAAGAACAAATTGCAACAGTGGTTCAGTATTGTCACATGTTAAACATAGTTTAATTTTGAAAGAGGAACAGCGAGAAGATGATCAGTTGGCCTGAAGATAACCTATAAAAATGGAAATAATAGACAACTTTTTTATTCTTTCTTTGGAATGAGAAGAGGAGATCGAAATACATAACAGTGTACCTGAGATGAACAGGAATATGATATTTTCTAAAGCAACACTGCTCACTACCTGTACAGTTATTAAGTAATTAAGTACTGTAGCTAGATTTTCCTCGAATGGAAAAGAAAAAACCTCTTCATCTATGTCACCCTCTGTCTATTTCTGCTTTTGTCGGTGACAAGTGGACCTGCAGATGTTTATGCATATCTAATTTCCATTATTGTCATATAACTGAAATCTGCTGTCATTTTTGCTTGGAGCATATGCTTTATAATTTAATTAAAATTTCACAAAGGATTGATCTAGTTTGGGACACAAGCACAACTTGTCATAATTAGAGTTCTGAAGTAGCGCACTAGTCATACGTTGAACTGTTTCAGAAAACATGTGTTTGTGTTTCTAGGTAAGAAGGAAAATACGATAAGGAGCATAATTAAGGCGTGCCAGATGGATAGATATTTTTGTTTACTGCTTCCAATTAAGTATACTTCGATAATGATATTGTTTCGGATAAGGGCGAACCTTAATTCACTGACAACAACATCAACTAGGAATTAATCATATTCTAATTATACCTTGGACATAGAGGATCCAACATTTTTGCTTAATTAAGCTAATTATATATCCACTTGCAACTCTTCCCATCAACTGTGTGTGTATTCTGTTTGCTAGTGTGATTAAATCCAGGCAAGTGTCATTAATTTAATATAAATTGTTAATTTTTTGCTACTAATTAAACTCTTTGATATCTAAGCCTATGTTTAGATAAAAATTAGTAAAGGAAAGAAAGGGGAAGAGAGGGGAAGGAAGGAGAGGAGAAGTGAAGGGAAGGAAAAGGTTGATATTAATTTGTTTAGATAGACAAAAGTGAAAGAGAGGAAAAGATAATATTTTTATTTAATAAAATAATTTAATAAAAAAT